AGAGAGAGAGAGAGAGCAATCTTAGGCTTAGCTCTTAGTTCCAACTTTTCTTGCTTGCTGCTTAAGTTTGTGGCTCCAAACTAATTGTGCTGATTGCTTAGATGCCAAACTTTCCTTGGAAATGCAGGGCTGTTACACAGTTTGCACTTGGTTTGGAGAGATTCGAAAGCAAGATAAAGTCACAAACTGCTAAGAGAAGCTCAGAGATCCTTGCCTCAGCTGCAGAAATAATAAAAAAGCAGCTTCAGCACGTTGAGTGCCAGATACAATCTGCTATGTGGGTTTTCCATACTTATAGAAATAGTTTAATCTTGATAAATATACATGCTTTTTTCACATATACAATGATATGGTATTCTTTAGGCATGAGACTGGCTTCTATGACAGGGAGACTGATCAATGATTCTTTAATTGCAGATACAACTTAAGAACACTGAGCAAAGCTAAGAGAAAACGCTTGGAATTGAGATTTCAAGGTACTAAAAGTTGGATTCACATGGTTTCAACTTTTGCATTGTATACTCGCTAAGCTTTACAACATATTCATAATGTACTCAGAGAGAGAGAAACTCTCTTAGCTTTGCAACATATTCATAATGTATTCAGTACTGTGAGAGAGAGAGAGAGAGAGAGAGAGTTTGTTGACAAATTTGTTACTTTCAGACCAGCAGGAACGACTTAGACTGATCCAAGAAAAGTTCAAAGAAGACATAAATCAACTTGTCCAGGATTGCAAAAGCGCAATGGTCGAGTTCGAGGAAGACCAGCTTACGTTGAGAGCAAAGGCCGAAACTGAAAGTATGGTAAAAACTATTATAGAATTGTGGCTGAATTTGATTCACAAAGCTTTAAAAATACTTGTTTTTAAACAAACGACAACAATGCCCCGACCACTGGGGGAGAGAGAGGCAGCCCGCCCACTACCTAGGCAGCTCAATGCCTGCATCCATCTCTCTCTCTACCAGCACTGCTCCCGGACACTTCCACATTTTTTTTTTTTGGTTTATGAAAATTCTTTAGTTTACAATATTAATCAACAAAAGAACTTTTACATTAATGTCACTTGAATACACTTTTGTTTTCGATCTTCCTCAATATAGGGATTTCTGGTCTTCTACAAGTCTCTCTTACTAGCTGCACAGCTTTTGCATGCATCCACCATTAATACAATTCGCACGCACCTTCCTGCTCATATGTTCCTCACTAATGGGGTTCTTGGTGACGAGAAAATGACCAACTTTATCTTTATGTTTTCGTCCTCGTCTCCCTTGGGGACCAAAATTACTCTAAATACACTCTTCACATATATGCCAAAGGATTTGCTACTCCCCCCGGGGGTGCTATCCATATACTACAACGGGCAACCAACCTCAAAGAGGGAAAAAAAAAATCAACTTTTACTCTTATGTGCCTAAAAAAAGGGCATCCCAAGATTGCAATGGGACTATTTAATTTTTTGTGGGGAATGATGTAGATGTTGAAGAATTCAAAATCCAATTGTTTATTTATTTTTGAATAATCATCTAGTTATAATTACATAAATTTTGAAATTTTTTTAAAAAAAATTCTCCCAATTAAATGATTTGCCCGAGGGAGTAAATATATATTATGCTCCTTAGGGAGTATGTGTGCTCACTAGATAAAAGGGGATGGTTTTTTCTTGTTTTTTTGGTTTGGGGGTAAGGGAGTGGGGAGAGGACCATACCCTCGTTAGGAATTGAGTGTAGAGCATAGCATTGTAAATTATCAAGCACTAATCAATTAAACCTGGGGTTTTTTCCTAAACATTATTAGTATTTTGTCTCTAAAGACATGTGAGCTCCTTTTCAAATATCATTTCTTTACTGAGCATATCGTACATTAACTTTGGGATCCAAGATTCACTAGATGATTCTCCAAAAAGAAATAAATTTAGATTTTGAATTCTTCTACTCTTGGATATTGCCTTTCAAAATTTTAATGATCCCTGTTTAGACTCACCTTTCTTTCATTTAAATTTTCCTCTTTTTTTCCCCATTGTCAAGGTTAATCGCATTGTTCACGAGGTTACGTAGGTCGTATCACCAAATTTGAAGCCCTAATAATTCACCCGAGGGAACAAACGAATTGCAAATTTTCTCACATTTGCTTTTTCTGTTTCTTCACTGTACTCCTTTTAGGTAAAAGGGAACCATTACATCATAAAGAGGACCATTACATCCTAAACGTTCCTCTTTCTTTTTCTTCCAAGAATAAAGACTTCGTTTTCAGAGCTTATTGCATCAAACATGGGTCCTACGGAAAAATAAATAGAATAAAAGGTGGGGCCATATCAGCCAGTTTTGTAATAAAACTGGTCGGTTCTGTAAACAAACTGGCATGTTCCTTGCACTGCTGGTTCCCAATACATGGTGAAAACCTGACCGGCTCCATTGATTCCAGTTCCACATTAAGCAATTCCTATCTCCATCGGCATTTTTTTAAAACCATTGGAGGGTCTAAGTACGGGTGATTATTGGGTTTGAGGACTTGACTATGCATCAGCAGGCATTGACATGAGCATAAAATGCGTAGATGGTGATTATCGATTTACTTTTAAATTTTGAAATGGTTTAACACGTTACTCATTTTTATTTGATTTCATGTAAACCATCATTTTTTGTTCAAAATTTAAATGGGGAAATTTACCTGAATACACCTAACTTATCAACTCTTAGAAATATTACCCATTTGTCAGCTATTCCTATTCATGATCGTGTGTACTTAGATAACTTTTTTAAATCAAATCAAGCATATGGGTAAAATATTACATAGTTGATAAAATTAGGTGTATTTTGATAAAGTTTCTTTTCAAATATGCTATGAAATGACACATCTTAATATGTGTTAGTATTTATTTCCATCTTGGCATGCGTATGCTTATGTGTAGACATGCATATGTACATGCTGACATGCTGATGTAGCCCGTGCCTTGTTCATTTCTATGTATGTATGCATGTGTTCATGTTCATTATATTGCTCTCTCTAGGTATTTGGCTCATACTTTGTTGTTGCATTTGTCAAAAGATGTCGTGTAGGCTTGTACATAAACGAGGTGTTTTTGAGTAAATTTAGACGAAGGTAAGTTGTCTTTTTAGTTTGAACGAGAGAGAGAGAGAGAGGGTTCATCTTTCTGACTCCTATCCGAAACTTATGGCGTGTAATTTTTCATCTCTGTCTTTCTTCGTAGTGTGCGTGTGCGTGCAATCACGTGAAAGTGTTTGGCCTTTTGCAAATTTATGCATTGTACTGTACTGATGTGTCCTCTTCTTCTCTTGATGACATCTCCTTATTGG